CTGGCTCCGCCTCTGGCGTACAGCAACCGTGTGTGAAAAGTGTCAATAAAGAGATGCTGAAAAGCGTGTTCATGCAAACATCGTCGGGTTTGCCGTGATATGTTTACAATGGAACTTCTGCTCCTGAACCTCTGCGCACAGTGTCTGCAAATCGGGGCTATACGAAGTCACTTTCATCTGTACGCAGGACTGTAAGCTGTCATCTGTGAGGGGTGAGCGGTGTTTGTTTTTAACATAGTTCACGGTGGAGAACAGCTGCTGACATAATGTGGATCTGAAATTCCATAATTGGCCTACCTGGGGTTGAAAGTCTCGATAAATGCACGGCGTTTCGGCGGGTACACCGGCTTCCGCGAGTGTGATGCTTATTTTGAGCGATGAAAAATAATAAAATATAATTTTATTTTCATATTTCAATATCACGATAATCTTCCAATTTAGAACTACAAGTTAAAAAAAAGAACTAAACACAAATAACATAAACTTCAGCTAAATACTTCTAATTTATTTTCCCAAACCACGCAGAGCCGCAATATAAGGACAAAAGAGCCGCATGCGGCTCCGGAGCCGCAGGTTGCCGACCCCTGGTCTAGCCAAAGGAGCCAGTTCTCTAAAAAGAGCCAAAATTCCCATCACTAGTTCATGTTCTAAAACTCTCCAATGTGGCTGAATCACAACAATTCTGCAATTGCTGTAAAAATGGGCGGGCCAAAATTCTTCAACAGCGCTATAAAAGACTCATTGCAAATGCTTGACTGTGTTTGTTTGTACTAAGGCTGGCCCAGTGTGGTTATTAGGTCTAGAAGGCAATCACCTTTTAACACACTTTTTAAGCAGGTTTGTGACTCAGGACTCGCTCACCCCCTCCCTCCTGTGCTGAATCATAGAGCCAGCGAACGAATCACTCACTCACCCCCTCCCTCCTGGCTCACAGCTTCTTCTTTTTCTTGGTTGGCAACCAATGTTAAGGCGCATTACCGCCCCCTGGCTCACAGCTCAGTGGACATTTAGATGAGAAAATATATATTTGACACATTTAAGGAAAATACTAATAAAATAAAAATAAACAAAATAAATGTTTATTAAGCAATTTTGATAGGAAATTGCTTAATTTTAGAAATGTTTTTGCTGTTTTTTGCTCTATAAAATAGTTGTTTTCTTTTAGAATCACTCATCTTAGCAGTAGGATATACACGAAAATGTAAATTTTTTGCACTCTCTGGTCAACTGACTCAGTGAATCAGATGACTCAAAAAATCCGATTCACTTTGGTGAGTGACTCATTAAAACTCGATTCAGTAAAAAGAATCAAATTTACCATCACTATTTGTGAAACCGTCTATCAGGAATCTAGGGGTAACTTTTGATTCCGCTCTCACATTGGATGTTCATGTTGTTCATTGAACTTCCACAGCCCTATGTCCTTAGCAGGTCCCTGAGGTCATACAAGGCTGAGGACTAAGGGAGACAGAGCTTTTGTGTCACGGTTCTGGGTCCGTTGGACCCCGTATTTTGAGTTTATTATGTTTTGGTTTAATTTTGCATCATGGATTGTTTTCTTGTTCTCTTGTTGTGATTGTGATGATGATGATTATTATTAGAGTTTCATGTTTCTGTTATCCATGTTTTAGGAATTGTGGTTTCATGTATAGTTCAGTTCCATGTGTCATTTTCTGTCTCTGTGTTGAGTCTGTGTCTCTGAGTTGTGATTCATGTTTCCTGTTTTATTGTGAAAGTCTTTGTCTTATGTTAGTGTGTGCCGCTTTGTTCCCTCTGTCTCATTAGCCCTGATCTCTCCCAGCTGTGTCTCCCGCCTGTTGCCGATTCCCTCGTTACTACCCTGTGTATATAAGCCCTGTGTTTTCCTGTGCTTGGTGTTGTGTTGTACCCTCAGATCCTGCCTGTGTGTTCCTGCTTGGTTTCATGGGTTGGTTTTTGTTTCATGCCAGCAATAAAAGTTGTGGTTTTGAGTTACATTTTGTCTTGGAGTCCTGCATTTGGATCCACATTTCCACCTGCCCGCACACAGAGCCCTGACATTTTGCTACTATGAGCCCCAGACTATGGAACTCCCACTGAGCTTAAGATCTTTGGATTCAGTAGTCTCTTTTAAAAAAAAAAAACCAAAAACACATCTTTTTAGAATTGCCTTTGGATAACTTTTTTCTGTTTTTGTTTTATGCATTGTTATCTCTGTATGAAGCACCTTGTGACTTTTTGTCTAGAAAGGTGCTATATAAATACAATTTTAGGACATCATTGTAGGACATTTTTTTTAATGAAAATTAAAAGAGAAGAAAACTGTGACTTACGGTTTTGCCAACATTTCCAGATGTACCAAGCAATGAAAGCAATGATGACAGCAGGGAAGACAGCAGTGCAGACAGCAGTGATGACAGCAGTGATGACAGTAGTGTCATCAGCACCATCAGTGTTTTTAGTGCTCTTATTATTAACTGAAAAAACCCCAGAATAAATATGTTACGTGTCTTTGTTTTTTTTAACCATAGACTTCCAAAACAACACTCAACCATCAATTTTCCACACCTGCTTCTCCTGCTTGTGTGAACTGTTGGAATCAAATTGTTAAACGTTGTCATTGTGTTGCTTAAATTTGTAAGTCTTAGTTTAAGCAGCAGGATCAAAGACATTCCTTTGTCTTTGACCACCTCTCCAACCAGTTTGTTGGTGGGGGAGGCCGAAGTGTTTTATTATAGGGACATCCTATCTGAAGGTCCTGTTTTCTTGTGTAGTAAGCTTCCTGCTTTTATGACCCTTTTGTGGGCAGGAGGTCACACAAAGGCACCCCCAAACACAAACACACATTCTCGCACATACATACATGCACACACACACGCTTATATGTGCACACAGATACACACATAGTGCCTTGTCTTTTGTGACCATAGGGGGATTTTACAATGGGAGGTGCTTGTGTGTACTGTAACTGTTATCAATAAAAGGGAGGCCAGAGTCGAAGTCGTCTGTGGTTGGATTCAGAGCGCTTTCCTGAGACACCAACAGGGGCTTCCCTTGCTAGCAAGTAAAATTGATAGATCGCTGATTGTCTTGTTTCCTTTGTTAACGAGAATAAGTTTCTAAACCAGCCTGTGGAAGCGCAGACCCAACATGAACAGAGTAACAATAACATAATTGTTACAGACACAGTTGTTAAACACAAACAACTGTGTCATTTGTTTTATTTACATTGTATCTGAACAGACATCACAGGGAACAAAGAAGCTAACTGTGCTGGTGATATCTCATTAAGCAACAAATATTTACTTACTTGATCCATTAAACTGTTTTGTATCATGTTTTGCTGCATCTGTTGAAAAGTATTTTAATTTCGTTAAAATGCAGAAAAAATATATTTTTAAAAAAATATTTTGAATATGCATTACATCAGCTGTGCTTACCAACTTTTAGTGTAATGTTCCCCTTTCTGACTTGACTATGAAGTTTGGGAACATAGCAGATATACAGCCCTTCATCTTCTTTGCTCACATTTCTCAGCAATAAGGAAATGTTGCCTTTCCCGATTTCGTCACAGAAGAGATATGTTCTGTTTATAAAGTGACTGTTCTGCTGATTTGGATCATGTTTCATACTTCGATAAACATGCACATAAGTTTTATTGCGTTTCCACTCCACTGTGAGAGTCGACACATTAAATGGGGGCTCCAGGTGACACGGCAGAATGACGTCCTCACCGACATTTGCTTTCACTGGTTCATCTGAGCCAATCACATCAGACTCTCCTGCAAAACAAACATTCAATCAAATGATGGATGAAGTGGAATAAAATGTACAGATATAAAATGTACTAGCCAAAACAATACAATACAATAAATAAACCTACAGCATGGAGTGAACAGAAATTTAAGCATGTGCTTTCACTCAAAGCACAGACTGAAAAATAACATTTAAAAATCAGACTCATTAAGATTTAATTTAGCAATGGTTGTGAATAATTAAATGAGCAGCAGCCAATTCTAGATTTAAAAAAATACGCTAAAGAATAGCACATAAAATACAGTAGCTTAATAATATGTCTAAAGCAAGTAGGTCAATAAATACAGTGAGTTTAAAACATTTAGACTGATTCAGATTGGATAGTAAGAAAATCACTGAGACTCTCAAAGTTGACAGAGAACTTGAAACCTGCCTTTTGAACTTAATTTTCATCAAAAAATGTGCATTTCTGTTCTCATTACATTTTTAGTGACACAAAAATATCAACTTTATGACCTAAAGCAGTCTTAAGATGTAATTTAGACAGCTTGCTACAAAGATACTGCCAGGAGATTTTACATGCTCTTCTTCTCATGGCAGAAGAAGAGCATGTCTGCCAAATCTCATTTGCTCTCTGTTTATTACAGAATTATAGTGATGATTAGCAGCCTTAAGGCACTGGCCACAACTGCACTGACTCTGCTATAAGGTAGAAGAGGTGAAATGTATGGGACTGATAACCACAAATTATGACCTTTCAATAGGCGAATCACATCAAAATGAACTGAAAGAAAATACTCAGACAGTTTATATCAGTTTCCTCAATAGTCATAGTTCAAAGTTTGGGTAATTTTAATATTTGCACCACATACTAACCAACAGTGAGGTTAACATAACAACTTTTCTCCACATTATCAGTGATAAAGGAGCATTTGTATCTCCCGGTGTCAGTGAGTTTTAGTGAGGTCAGCATCAGTGACAGATTTCCTTTGGTTAACGCCTCCTGGGAGAGAGCAGTCCGTGCTTCAAAATGCTCTCTCTGTGCTCCAGGATTATATTTTCCATTTTGACAAAGGATTACAACGTCATTCCCACAAGTCCACTTTACTGTCTCAGATGTTGCGTTCAGTGGGGGCTTAAGGTAGCACTGCAGGAGGACATGTTCACTGTATACTGCTTGTACTGGCTCAGAAGAGCAAATAATCTGAGGTTCTGTTAAAAAAGTAAAAAAAAACAAATGTTACATTAGGATTGGACACATTTTTGGCCAACAATCTACATCAAACTTAAGAACAAGATGGGTGAGGAGTCAAATTTACTGTGTGCAGGCAGGAATGGTGGACCCAAAAGTGCAGACTCACGGCAGGCAAAAGTGCAGTCAAAACTGTTTTATTGCTGACACAACAAAAATACTAAAGTGAAAATACAAAATACCTAAACAGGCTGGCAGACAAACAGAACACACAGCACAGAATGAGGAAGACCATGACACAGAGCTAACGAGACAAGGGACGCAAAACCAGACACAGACTATCAACACAAAACCGGAAACATAACACTGAGATACGGATTTGACAAAGGGATACACTTACACTATACATTGTCAATAAAATCATTAACATTTTTCAGAAACTGGCAAATTTTTTTAGATGTTTGCTTCTCTGGTAATTGCTATGACTGCTTCACCCCTCTCTCTCTTGCTATATGTATGTGTGATTAAATTTAATGTTTATGTATGAACTCTGAATCAGAAAAAAAAATGCATGCTAAGTGTTATGAATAAACACTAAGAAGCAACTGTCATGGATCGCTGTGTGGCAAGCAGGAGGAGGACCCAAATGCAAAACTCACAGACACGGGGATGAACTCGAGAAACACAGCTTTAATGCTGGCACGGCAGAACACAGGAAATACAAAACTAAAGTGGGAAAAGTAAACTAACACTCGCAGGTAGACACAGGAAGATCCACACAACATGAGGGAGAACGCGACACAGAACTGAGGGAGACGCAGACATAAATACACAGAGGGTTAACGAGCGGAGTGGGAGCACATGGGGAACACAGGTGACACTGATAATAATCACGAGACATGGCAGGAGTGAACACAACACTGACGGGGAGACGGGCGAGGCGAAACAGGAAGTACAGAGGTACAGACAGGAGGAGAGAGAGCACGAGTAGAACACCAACATAACGGCCAGGGGAGACACGGAATAAACACGAAAGGGGACAAGGGCTCATGAATACACAGAGGGGCACACAGGGGGTGAGAGTCATAAAGGGAAAGCACTCAGGGAACAACACAACAGGGCAACTCAGGAAACAGAACCTAAACAGGGAACTGAATACAAAGATACATGAGAACTAAGAATACTGGGCCAACATGGCCCAGGACCGTGACAGCAACGAAATTTTAATTGCGTTACTTAAATTGGGAAGGCTGTAGCTCAAAAGGTAAGGCGGGTCATGTACTGATTAGAAGGTTAGAGCTTCGATTCTTTCCTGCACCTGTATGCCAAATATTCCTGGGCAAGATTCTAACACAAAGTCGCTAGACAGAAAGAACTTAAGCACGGAGAAAGTGTGTGTTTGGGTTTGGATGAGGCATGTATTTATAAAATGTACGTGTATGAAGTGCTTTGGTGGGGTTTTTTATAAAACGATGAAAATATGTTTACTCACGTGTAGCTTCCAAGACAAACTGGTGACTGCAGACTGACAGCAAAACAAAAACCGTTAGATCCATTCAAAAGAACAAGAATAACATGTCTTCTTATCAAAAACCAAAAGACTAAACTGTGGCTCGTGACTTGTGAACAGAAAGAGAAAGAAAACAAAAGAAAAAGGAGATGCTGCGATTAACTTTTGCTTTCAAGTCCCCGCCTATTGGCACAGTTTAACTCCACTGTAGAAAATATAATCTAATGAGAGGGAAGTATCACGGCTGGATTTCTAATCTGGCATTTGCAAAGTGCACTAACACACTCGTGGCTCAATATATATATTTTCCTTATCTGTAAATTATAAAGGTTACGGACCAACTGGCACCAAGGTGTGCCAAAAAGTGATGAAAAAACTTTCATTAACATAAAAAATAGTTTTTCAAGTGAAGGCAGCATAATTTCTAATATATATAACATCACTCTGCCCTTAACTCATTATACTCACAGTCATGCTATTTTTTTTTTTAATGTCCCACGTATTCCTCTGAGTTTCCTAGTTTCTGGAGTTGTGGCATATTGCATTTGAGAGCATATCAATAATGCTGAATATCTAAGTCTTGAGTCCTGTGTTTAGGTCCATTTCCTGCCAGCACCACCTTGCTAAAATGCCAGGGCTAACTTTTAATTTTCAATTTATCAATATATTATTTATTTCAATATATTTTTGTCCAGAACAGACCTACTCTAAATCATCTGACCCTTTTTGAACTGTATTCTGTATCAAAAACACTCAATTGAGTGTCCAGGTGATTATCCACAACAAAGTACTTTAAACATTTTAATTAATTCTTTTCATTTCAGTTATTCATTCATAATCATTTTGATTCAGAGCCTAAGAATTATGAGCTGCACTGTCCTCAACCCTTGCCCCTCCTGGATTCATGCTTTCTCCTGTATTGTTTAAGTCTTTTTTGGACATGAATGATCCCCTCCTCATTTCCCTGTACACAAAGTGGAAAGTTTCCACCATTAAAGTCAGTAATATATACATTAGAATAGTACTACCTGTATTCCTTGCAAGTTCACCTTTCCACTTGTCTCCCTCTCATTAACACACATAACATGTATTCTGTATTGCTTCTACTGACTTTTATTCCTCTTCTCTCCAGAGCATACCCCCACCTGTCCAGGCTCTCTTGCACCTATTCTCTACTCTCACTATTTGATTCAGTTTAATTCAACTTAATTTACCTAGTGTCAAATCCCAATAACAGTTGTTCAAAGCACTTTATATAGTAAGGTAAAGACCCTACAATAATACAGAAAAAAACCCAAGCAGGAAGTAGTTTGTGGCAGTGGGGGAAAAAAAATCTCCTTCTAGGAGTAAGAAACCTCCTGGAGAACGAGACTGCAGGAGGGCAGCCAACTGCTATAACTGGTTGGGATAAGGGGAAGGAGAAGAAGGAATATTACAGATTACAGATTATTTCTCCATAAACCATGGAGACTTCTGCCTGACCTTACCTCTCAGCCTGTCCATCACCACAACAACAATGATGATCCTGGACGTAACCGCACCCTTACCTTGAACACATTTCTCCTACCTAACCTTAACACTGTCCTCATGCATGGCCTACACCACCCTCAAATACACCAAAAAAAGTCCATGTTGGATTTATTTAATTCAATAGTGGACATTGGTTGCACACAAATGTTTTGCTTTGGCAAAAACTTAAACAACTGAGTTAAATTTACACAAGTTATTCATATTCAATAAACCTGTGCATTTTGTGTTCATAAAACCCGATTGAAACATGTTTAGATGAAGTAAGTTGAGCTCTTGGAATATTTTGATCCTTCAAAATTTTGTCATTTTATTTCAACACTATTCAATAACTTTTACCCCAATACT